GTAAGGTTTTTCGAACAAATTAGTTATTCCAGTTGATTATTTGTAGCTTCCGACAGTATTTAATTTGCTTTGATTATTTTATATAATAAAGAAGATGAGAAATAGGGAGGACGGTTGGAAGAAAACAGTTGACACCCCCATTCGCTTTCCACCCAACCCGAAAACTCACAAACTCGCCCCTCAAGTGCTCCGTCAACTCTCACCTATCCACTTATTCATCTCAAAATTCAAGTGCTCGGGGCTCTCTCTGACTCCACCTCTCTGCCTCGTCCCCATAGACTCCAGCCACTGCGATGCGTGGGGCCGAGACTGACGCTATGGGTTTGTTGCTCAAGGAGAGGATTGTCTTCTTGGGAAATTAGGTTGATGATTTTCTTGCTGATGCTATTGTTAGCCTGTTGTTCTTGCTTGATGCTTAAGACCCCTAGATTTATGCTTAGAATACAATTCAGATGAAACTTTCCGTTGGGTAGATTAATATTTGCTAATTAAGTAAAAAATAATGCCTCGTAACCTCATGCTTCTTCTGTGAAGTTAAATATTACGAGAAAGAATTTGATAAATTTAAGGGGGACACATTCTTAACAATATAAGTTTTTTTCTGTGCTGAAATCGATCAAATTTGAATGAAACAGGAAATATTTTGCATTTATTTTGATCATGGCACCAGCTACAACAACAGGGGATTCGATTAAATCCAGAGGTACTGTATATGCTATTTTCATTTTTAGGCTTTGAAAAAGAAAGAGCAAATACATTACATTCCGTGAGGTTTTTTACTACTATGGTGACATCCCAATCTTTCGAAATATGAACAAAATTGTAACTTGAAGAAAGGGGAAAGAATAATTCCAAATTTTGAACCTTATTTAGTGCCAACCTTGTTGTACTTTTACTATTTTGATTAGAGTACATGCAAATGCAATGTAAACTTACAAATTATTAAAACTTGACATGTTCAGTTAATGCATTGTTTTTACTTTATCTTTATTAAATTATTTTAAAATATCTATTTGTGTTATTTGTAAACAAACAAGTTGTTCTTGATCATATTTGAAAAATATATGAAGTACTTTAAGAAATAAATTATATTTCATAATTTTAGTTCGAGAGGGGCAAATATTTTGACAACAAAAGAGGTATCTATTTCAATTCTTTTTAGAGTGTTTGTCTGCTTTCTTGCATCATTTTGTGCCAAGGATAATCTCTACTATGATTTGCTTTTTGTTTCTGTTATTGATTTCGCCCCTGTTAGTTTAGCGAAAAATCAAGTTATTAGTAGATTTTGATGAAGTTGATGAATTGTGTGGATAAAAATGTTGATAAAAGTTGTGGGTCCCATGAAATGTGTGGTTGAAAATGAATGAGGAAAAATGTGTTTTAGAAATTGGGGGCCACACAAGGACTTAATTTTAGTTAAAAAAATTTATCTCGACTTCTCTGCAGTTGATGCTTGATATGAGGAAAATTGTAATTCTATTTAATTTTTTGATTTAAATCTAATCTTATCATGAATCCGTTGTGATTTTTTTTAATTATTATTTTATTTGTCTGGCTGCTAGATTTTGTCTTCTGTGACTTTTTTTTTAACAAAAAACTTGAGCTTGTTAAACATGGTAGTTCCCTGAACAGGGACTTGTGAAACTTGCCGATTTCGGGGTTGCTACAAAATTGACTGAGGCAGATGTGAATACACATTCAGTTGTTGGAACACCGTACTGGATGGCCCCTGAGGTATTGCTTTGCTGTCCATTGTTGAAGGGCGGTGACAGCTTCGGTGGTGGTGATATTGGGTCTTCAGTCATACACATTCCCTTTAACCCTGTATTTTCTTTCTGCTGTTATTTTGGGAACTTAAATGATCAGTTATTGCTAAAAATTATTGTTGGATTTTCTATTCCTTTCTGTAAAAAAAAAAAAAAAAAGGATTTGGACAAAAGCAGCTACGAGTCCCCGACTATTTGAGGACGAAGGTGTTGGTGATTCCGACTTCGGACTTCGACCTGTGAATGGCGGTGGGAAAGGTTTCAAGAATTTCACCAACTCCTCCAGTAGCTCGATTTCGGGTTCGTAGCTCTACTTCAAGCTTCCCTTCACCCCTTGTTTTATTTTCTGATTTAAATACCATTGCGTGCATGTTATTCCAAACTATAGTATATACTCTGCTTCTAGATTTAATACTCAGTCTCACTTCATTAGATGAAACTTGAGAAGGCTAAAAGTGCCAAATTGAGCATGGGCTAAGCATTGTTTCACCCACCTTAATCTACAAAATATGGAAGGTCCAGGCATACTATTAGAATGTAGAGGATAGTAGAACAATGAACTGTGGACAAGATTTCGATTTAATATCCTTTTCAGTCAACAAACTTGTTAGCACTTACTGATTTTTTTTTCTTTGATCTATTGTTTTTTCCTTGTTCTGCAGGTTGGTTTGTCAAACATATTGGAAGACATTGTGGTAACTCTTAAAGACAGGAAAGAGCTTTCCTACCTCTTTCAAAAGCCAGTGTCAAATTACTTGGATCCCGATTTGATTCAGCAATCCTATATGATTTTTTTTCTTTTAATTCAGCAGTTTGAGGAAAACAGAAAAATGTATGGATAGAAGGAAAAAATCGGCAAGCTCTCGGAGATATATGATACCTTGTGCCTATTTCAACTATTGAGGGGAAGCCTCAAACCCAAATCTCTCGCCCCATAAGAAGGTATCCCGTATCCCTCTCTCTCATATACACACACCCATTGATTCTTTGGCTTTATGCATTTAGGGCTTAACTGAATTGAAAAAAATATTTGCTTTTAAGAGTTTCCATTTTGCTTTGTAATTTTCCTTTATGCAGTTACAACTCTTTTCTCTTCACAGTGTTCCTATGGAGGGAAAAAAATAGTTAGATTCTATGTAAAGGCAATAAAGAGGTGCTCGAGAATTTTAGACAGGTAAGTAGACAATTGCTCAATTTATATGTTCCTTACAGTTATTTATAAGAAGCTAAAATATTGCGAAATGATCACGATGACAATTAAATTGTAAGATGAGATTCCCTTCTATTCTATTTGAATAATATAGTTCTTTGGTGGTGGAGAGGAGATGGTGGTGGTTTGGAGTTGGATGGAGGTGGAATTGACGGGTTCAGGTTTCACCCTTCATCTGGTTCCCACCATTCATTCCTTACATTAAGCGACGGCATCTTGCAACCTCGTATCTTCTCTTGCAAAAAATGTTCTCATTTTCTAGCTATTGCATGCTCTCCATTCTTGAGCCCTAATTAATAGCTTATACTACCATCCTTGCATCAAATTAATTGTGCTACTATCCTTGCATCACATTCTTCCGTTGAATACTAAGGAAATCTTGAGGAATGATATTTCAGATTGAGAATGTATCAATGACAATACAATTATCTACAAGAATGCTAATCTTTCGGCCTCCGAGCGGTCAGTGTATCCCACTGCGGCAATGCCTATACATTTGGTAAGAAAATTTCACTATTTTGATTTATAGATTGAATTTGCTTGCTGCTTGTTCTGTGTTTTACATGTTCTTCCGTTTTTGTTGTTCGATTTTGACAAAAATTGGAGTTTGGTTACTTCAGGTATGTTGTTTTCATATTCTTGTTGAGTACTTTTTACAGTTTCTTCAGTTGTATTGTTGAATGTTCGGTTTTTTATTTCATTTTTATTGTTCAAGGTTTGAAGAGATCGTTATAAAAATACTACAAATTTCGACAGAAATTGGAGTTCCATGACTTCAGATATGTTATTTTGATATTCTTATTGCCTTTTTTTCTTTCTTTTTCTATTTTTTTTTACTCTATTTTAAGTGTATAATACAAAAGACACCCAAAAAATTTTCAGTAATTAGAACTTTCACACATTCACTTTCTTGTTTGTGTGTTTATTTCTGTATTGTTGAATCTTTGATTTTTAATTTTATTTTTTTGTTCTAGGTTTTAAGAGAATGTTTAATTGATTTCCTTCTGTCTTTGTTTTGAGTTTTGTGAAAGTTGTAGATAAAATGGAAGATTGACACATAAATAAGAGAGGTTAATTGAAAGGTAAATTATAACATTTCTCATGTTTTCTTTTCATTTTAAGATTTAGTACAAGGAGAATGTTTGTTTATTTCTCTTTTAGGACATTAGA